ATTTCCAGAAGATCAGTAGGGTTGGAGCTAATCTCACCTGGGCGGGGGGATGATGTTCCAGAGGGTGGGGGCCACAGCACAAAAGATTCGTCTCCTGGGTCCCGTCAGATGTAACGTCTTAATAGACGGGGCTATAACGTGCCCCTCCTGCCAGACCTGATGGGGCAGGCGGATGTAATCAGGGAGAAGTGGTCCCTCAAATAATCTGGTCCCGTGCCATGTAGGGCTTTATAAGTTACTACCAGCTCCTTAAATTTGACCTGGAAGCAAACTGGCAACCGATGCAGCTCGCGGGGCAGAGGTGTAACATGTGCCCTTCTAGGGGCACCCATAACCGCCTGCGCTGTTGCATTTCGCACCAGTTGAAGCTTCTTGATACTCTTCAAGGGCAGCCCCACGTAGAGCACATTACAGTAATCCATTTCACCAAACAGCAAAAAACTCAGAGAAAACTTTCAGTACAGTGCTGATTCATATCTTTTGGCAAAATCTGTAGGCAGATCTCCTCAAGAACAAACGATGGCGGTCCACATATGCCAACGTATTCAACCTTCTGGCCAACAATAACGTATTTGCAAAGCACTTTATTTTTACCCTGCCATTTTTGTCTATTTTTTTTCCAGCGGGGGCAAGTGGCACCCCAGCTCTAAATATGGTTGCAGAAACTTAATACACTTCGTAACGCACTTTTCCTGGAAAAGTTCAAAATTAAAGTTCAGAATATAACTTAAGACCAAGGATGATACGATGAGCGCAGAGATTCCGTTCGTGATCATTTTCTTATTTTCTTGATGACAAGTTCCACTCCGCTGGGCGAGATCAAGAAAGCAAGGCGGACACAGATTTCAGTAAGATCTCTTTAATGCTTGTCTGGGAGTCAATACAGAATCTTAGAAAACGCTAGAGGAATTTCCTAGCCTTATTTAGAGTTTATTAAGATGGAGTCTCTTTACCTGATTTGAAACACTTCTTCCCAGGTTTCTAGCTACGTGGGCTAGCTACCATTTAAGAAAAGCCACCAATGGGTTCTAACTCTTGAGTTGTTTATATCTACTCCCCCTTCTTTTCCTTTCCTGTCTCCCCACAATGGCATGAAACACGTGGTGAGACTTTCAGTACAATGTTGGTTAATATCCTCCAGCACAACGTTTTTCAAACTTGGCCACTTTAAGAGGTGTGCACAGCCAGCTGGGGAACTCTGGGAATTGAAGTCCACACATCTTAGAGTGGCCAAGTTTGAAAAACACTGTTCTAGCATTATTTGTAGGCAAATCTTGCAAAAGAGGGGTTGAGGATCCCCCAAAAATCAAGATAGTGGTCATGACTATGGTTCTCCCAAACCTTGGGTTAGGTAGATGGAGTTTGTGTTTTGAATATGGTTTTTTGTGACCAGATCCCGTCGTCTTTATTTGTTCTGTATTAAGTTTTTATTGGTTACTATATTGCAGTGTTTCTCAACCTTGGCAACTGAGATGTGTGGACTTCAATTCCCAGAATTCCCCAGCCAGCCATGCTGGCTGGGGAATTCTGG